GCAAATATCAAATTCACATAATTGTAGCAATTTTGATGATGAAGCATACACAATTTATGTAGAATCTAAAATACGTTAAACGAAAGTTGGTCATGCATCATGGTGAATGTTCATGCTATCAGGGCTTGCAAAATATCGAGTTAAAAGCCTTGTTTGGAAAGAACCTGATTGCGTGATGATATGGATGAACTGGTTTGATGCAGAAAAAATCTCCAACGTCAGATTCCTAAGCGCAGCGGTAGGAGCGTGCTGATAACGTGTTGTGGTCTATTTTATCTGACAGAGGGACTAGGGCCGGCTACAGAGAGAGAGAGGAGAGAGATGTGTGTTTGTAGAATTGTAGGGGAATGTGTGTGTTGTTATCCCTCCTACATTGTGCCTTTATTTATAGTAGTAAAGGGAGAGAAGATATTCCTTCTTCTCCAAGTAATACAAGTTGTAATAGGAAAGGATAACTAGAATCAAATCTTATCTAGGATTTACACAATCATACTTAAACTAGGAATGTTTACAACATATTATTATTTTTCAAAGGCACATTATAACAATCTAAATACAATGCCATGAAATATTTTGTAAAATAAATATAATTAATTAAATGGATATAGCAAGTAAAGATCCAAAAACCCCATCCAAGCATTAGTAGAGATAGTTTAGGCATCCGGAAAATACACAATTTGAAAAGTCAAATTTCATTAAAGAATTTGCTTAATTGGAGCTTAGTCAATAGGCTTTAATCAATTAAACAAAATGAGATGGATTTTAGTTAAAGAAAACATAATTTCAAGGGGTAATATCAAATTTTCAGAATATTTTTCTTCATACAAATGATACTTAAAGCTCTAGTCAAACAAAAAAGCTCGGATTCCACAACAAAAATCACAGAATCTCGGGTTCCATGCAAGTTACAACTTTGCCATTTTATTTATATACCAGAAATTTTGTTTTTTATAAAATCAAATGAAAGTTTATTATATACACTTTTCTCGACAAAATATGTGTAGTAATGCAATTTAGACACATCCAATTAATCCCGTCGAAGAGAAACTCACTAATACAATGTTCAATTATTAGAGAGGTTAATCAAATGCCCATTTTCAACAACACCGATATCATTTTTAACTTGTTAACTACTATTATTTTTAACTTGTTAACTACTACATGCATAGTCCAACAAGTATCAGGTCTCAATATTAATTAAAATGACATTAAGATGTTTAAAATATTTTATTTCTCTCTCATTCTACTAATGTGAGATACTTCGACAAAGTGGCTACATAAATTTGCAAAATTAAAGAAAAAATTAAAAGAGAGATTTGAAAAAAAAAAAAATAATAATATATAAGCCCTTTAAGGGAAGGGATCCCCTTTTTTTTTAAATATAGACACCATCTTAACTATTAGATTTGACTTTAATGAAATTCTATGGTTGAGATTAAATCACAGGTCACATAATCTCAACCACATAATTTCATTAAAACCAAATTTAACGGTTAAGAAAGTGTTTCCTTTTTTTTTTTTAAATAAGGATCTCTCCTTTTAAAAGCTTCCTAGATATATATTAATGCTCCAGATGTCAACACGTATCATATTGTACATGAAATCGGTAACCTTTTTTATAAATAGAATTGTGGAATTGACCCGGAGAACCAAACCGTTGAATATGGCGCCAAAATCCAACGTCATCCAACTGACACATTACGTTTTACCACCAAATATGTTTTCCTATTCCATATTTTTTATTCACAAGAAAAGGAAAATGTCATCCCTCCGACGCATTTTCTACACCCTTTTGTACTCTTTTGGAAATTTCAACCCACATGCCAAGACACAACAACGCATGTCGTTTTCAAAAAAAAAAAAAAAAAAAAAAAAAAAAAAACCAACGCACGTCCATCCATGTCGTGCCACTACTGGTTACCATGTAAAATTAAGATATATAATCCTGCAGGCTTTGCTTGTTCCTTACTTGAATTTCACAAGAATTTCCAGTTTTTCAACTTCAAATACTCCATCAAAATTAGTCTTTTTGCCAAGAAGAGAAAATGGCTTTGGTTGCAGAGGCTTTACTCTCCGGTTCAATCCAAGTGATGTGCGACAAGATTGCCTCCAGAGCGTTCATGGACTTCTTCCGGGCAAGAAGATTCAACCATTCACTCGTGGACAGACTGAAGGTGACGTTGATGACCCTCCATGCAGTGCTCAACGATGCAGAGGAGAAGCAGATTGTCAACCCTGCCGTCGAAATGTGGCTTGACGAGCTCAAAGATGCTGTGTTCGATGCCGAGGACTTGGTGGATGAGATTGATACTAAAGCTTTGCATCACAAGGCGAAAGATCAGACTGGGACAACCCAGGTGTGGAACATCCTTTCTACCTCTCTTAATCCTTTTAATTATAAAGGCTTGAATGGTAGATTAGAAAATTTATTCAACAAGTTGGAACACCTTGCAAAACAAAAAGATATCCTCGGTCTTAGAGGAGGTGTTGGGGGCAAGGTTTCACAAAGAAATCCCACAACTTCTGTTGTTGAGGAAGGATTTTGTACCTATGGTAGGGATGGAGACAAAGAAAAGTTAAAAGCTCTACTGCTGCTCTCTGACAATGAAAGTAGCAGTAATTTTTCTGTAGTCCCTATAGTCGGAATGGGTGGGGTTGGAAAGACAACTCTTGCTCAAGTCCTTTACAATGATGAACAAGTTAAAGAGCACTTTGATATGAATGCTTGGGTTTGTGTTTCCGAACAGTACGATGCTTTGAGGGTGATTAAGACCCTTATTGAGCAAATCACTGAGAAATCTTGTGATGTCTCAGATATGAATTCCCTTGAAATTCGACTAAGGGAACAAGTAAGGGGAAAGACATTTTTATTTGTCCTGGATGACCTTTGGAATGAGAGCTATGGTGACTGGGATCGGATACGAACTCTTTTCACGTATGGGGCGAAGGGAAGCAAGGTCATTGTAACAACAAGGAGTAAACGTGTTGCATCCATCGTGCACAATACCATTCCAATTCACGACTTAGAAAAATTGTCTGAGGAGGATTGCTGGTTGCTACTGAAAAAACATGCATTTAGAAATGAAAACCCCACTGCACATCCAGACTTGGAAGAAGTTGGTAAGAAAATTGCACGTAAATGCAACGGTTTGCCTTTAGCTTCAAAAACACTAGGGGGTCTCTTAGGTTGTAACCTAGACTATAAGGAATGGAATCACATACTGGATAGCAATCTTTGGGATCTACCACACGCTAATGGTGTTCTTCCTTCTCTAAAATTGAGTTACCATTATCTTCCAACTTACTTGAAACGATGCTTTGCTTATTGCTCAATTTTCCCAAAGGACTATGAATTTGATAAGGAAAATGTAATTCTATTATGGGTGGCAGAAGGTTTAATTCCACAACCAGAGAGCGAGAAAGCAATGGAAGAGGTTGGTGAAAGATACTTTGATGAACTGTTATCGCGATCACTATTTCAAAGACCAAGATTGGATCAACCAAAATTCACTATGCATGATCTCATCAATGACTTGGCTATGTCTTTGTCTAGAAAATTTTGTTATAGGTTGGATCAGGAAAATTCACATGAAGTTCCTAAAAGAGTTCGCCATTGGTCTTATATGAGAGGAAAATTTGATACAACTCCAAAATTTAAGCCATTAGATGGAGTTACATGTTTGCGTGCCTTCTTGCCAATGTCTTTATCACCATATAATAGCCGGGGAAATGTAAGTAATAAGGTTCTTGATAAATTACTGCCAGCACAAAAATGTTTACGGGCATTTTCATTGTCAAAATATGATAATATCAGTCGCTTACCTGATTCCATTGGTAAACAAACACATTTGCGCTACATTGATCTCTCTTACACGAAAATTAAAAGGTTACCAAATAGAGTGTGTACTCTTTATAATTTACAAACTCTATTGTTGTTAGGCTGTTTTTCTCTTGTTGAATTGCCTACAGACATGAGGAAATTGATTCATTTGCGTCATCTTGATATTAGTGGAACTAAAATAAAAGCGATGCCGGTGCAAATGGGTAAACTAAGAAGTTTGAGAACGCTTACTGCTTTTGTGTTGGGGAAATCTACTGGGTCAAGTATTGGAGAACTGAGGGAGTTGTCGCACCTTCGAGGAAAAATTTCTATCTTGAATCTGCGAAATGTAGTCGGTCCTATTGATGCCTTGCTGAAGGATAAGAAAGATCTCAATGAGGTAGAGTTGTCATGGGGTAGCGTGGTTTCCGACGATTCCGTAAAAGAGAGACAAGTACTTGAAAGCCTTCAACCTTCTGTAAAACTGGTGAAACTGACCATCAGGTCTTATGGTGGAACCAGTTTCCCGAATTGGGTGGGAGACTCGTCCTTCTCCAACTTACAAGTGATGCGTCTGATTGATTGTAGTAAATGTAGTTCTCTGCCACCAGTTGGTCAGCTACCTGCTCTGAAAGAGCTCTACGTAGAAAGGATGGAATTTGTTACGAGTGTTAGTGTTGAATTCTATGGGGGAAATCAACCATTTCCATCTTTAGAGAAGCTAGAGTTTATGGATATGCCAGCGTGGGAGGAATGGGTGCCAAGTCCAAGTGGAGGTGAAAGTCCAGATTTTCCTCGTCTTAAGAACCTGACTTTAATAAATTGTGAGAAGCTCAGAGGAAACTTGCCCCCTCATCTTCCTTCCTTGAAAATACTTTGGGTGTCCAACTGTGAGGTTCTACATGAAAACAGAGCCAGTAATGTTCTGAACATGGAATCCTTACGACCATCTCTTGAAGAAGTGCAAATAAGAGGATGCCCGGGTCTCTCATTGCTACTAAAGACGACGGAGACGCTGCCGTCGCTTCAGATGCTCCATATTAATCTTGTTGGGACAGGGACACAGTGGTTGCCGCAAATGTTGCACAACAGCAATCGTCTTCAAAGTTTGACTCTATATAGTTGTTCCTCACTCTTGTCGTTGCCTTCAAATGGTCTGCCCGCCACGCTCACGTCACTCCGTATAGAGCATTGCAAGAAATTAGAATTCCTATCGCCTGAGATGATGGCCCAATTGACTTCCCTTCAGTCTTTGGATCTATTCAATAGCTGTGATTCTCTGAGGTCCTTCCCTTTGGGCATTTTCCCCAAACTTTCATCTCTCGATATCGATGGTTGTCAGAATCTGGAATCCCTTTCTGTTGAAGAAGGAGCACATGAAAATCTCAACCATCTCAACACCCTGGATATCAGTTACTGTCCAAATTTTGTCTCTTTTCCCAACGGAGGACTGCCCACTCCCAACCTGACTGCCATTAGAGTCGCTGGATGCGAGAATTTGAAGTTGTTGCCGGACCGAATGCACACCCTCACCGCCCTTCAACGTGTTTGGATACAAAATCTTCCAAATGTGGTGTCATTTGCACAAGGGGGTTTGCCTCCCAACCTACATACATTTTATTGTATCGGCAGAAGCCGGGAAGTGCTGGAGACGTTGCTTAATGAACAGCTACTCCCCGCCACTCTTCACACTCTCGATATCTCTTATGTATCGAATCTGAAATCTTTGGACGGGAAGGGACTTGAGCACCTCACTTCTCTTCAAGAGCTCCGAATTTCATGCTGCGAGAGTCTCGAATTCCTACCAAAAGAGGGTTTGCCGGCATCTCTTTCTTATCTGATCATCTGGCGTTGTCCTACACTGAAGAAGGCAAAATATTGGAGAAACATATCTCGCATTCCCTGCATAAAGATAGATGACCAAGTCATCATCCAATGAGCTTTCATTTCACTCTCTCCAACTCTCAACTCTCGAGAAAAAGCCAGGTACTTTTTCATTTATTATTAAATTGATTGTCTTCAGCGATATTCCTACATAAATTCAAGTTTCAGAGTCCAATTCCAATGAAATTATAGGAGAATGCGAGGGGAGTGACTTCTTTCTAGTCTGATACTGTGGAACTACTTGGGGTGGATATACACACACACACACACATACACGTATTAAACCCTGGATGATGGTTTCCTCATGCTTCTCTCGGCATAACTTTCTCATTTTTCACTGTAACTGTGATCTTCAGGTAGGTTGTGTTTGCTTGAATGTGAGTACGTACATTACGTTACTAGATAAGGAGGCTGGTTGTTGTGGTATAGATTTCACCAGTGGAACATTGCGGATCAGCTGTAAATTGTAATTTACTCCCTCTCACTTTTTCTATCTTCAGTTTGCCTTATCTGTATTGCATTTATATTAACAGTCTTTTCCTTTAACAGTTCAATTCAACTATATGCTAAGTCAAGAGAATGTGATAGGACTAACTGATATATCGGTTTCATTGATGCAGCAAGCAAATAGAGTTAACCGGTAAAGACAGGATCATCAAACGTTGCTCTGGTTTTCTGGACTATCAAGTTTGAAATCTTTGGACGGAAGTGGACTTTCAACACCTCCTGGTCTCCCAATTCCTGCCAGGATAGGGACCTCTAGACCTCAGCTCTCGTCAACAGCTATATAAAGATTGAATGTATGTGGGACTTCATCGGTCCAGAGAAAAAACTATTGATAACGATGTCAGATTACATCAACAACTCAGGTACTTATGTATATATATACTGCTGTGGTTTCCATATGGCGGAATGCTTACTCATCTTTCAATGCCTCTGTCATCTTGAGGTAGGTGTATACACATGCTTCTTTACAAACACAATGGTTGAAGAGAGCATGGCTTATTAACATGTTTGCTAGAATGCCAGTGTTACTAGACTCAGTGGCTGGCTGCCGTGCCTACAGATTTCAGTGTAAGCAGTTGAATACTTGAGTGTTACTAGACTCGATGGCTGGCTGCCGCGCCTACAGATTTCAGTGTAAGCAGTTGAACACTTGAGTGTAAGTTATTCTTCCTTTCTGTAACAGTGTAATTCAACTATGCTATCTGTCAGGACAACAAGATGGGACTGACATATACGTTGGCTTTGTTGATGCAGATGGGACCTCTATAATTGTTAAGATAGGATCATCTACTGCCAACAATTTAAACGTGCATAAATTAGTTGTCCTTGAATGGTGCTAGCTCCGGCTGTCTGGCATGAATGTAATTCTCCTTTAGCCGAAGAGGTAACCCCTGGAACGATTTTTTTTCTAATACTGCTACGGTTTGAACTTGGAATATGAGAGGTGTGTCTTTTCATCTTCTCTTGATGTCACTCTCATCTTCAAGTGGGTGCAGATATGCTTTTGTACGGGCAAAGTGGTTGAATAGCTCAGCATGATCCTTGTAGCACTGGCCGTCATGCTCGCGCTTGTTGGAATTCCAGTAAATGATGTTACTAGAATAGGTGGTTGGCTGGTGTGCTACGGATTTCACAGGAGTGAAATTTCTTATGATGAGCGCTGCACATGAGCTGTAATTCAGCTTTCCACTCTCTTTTATTTGAAGTTCCATTTGCTTGTTTTCTAAGATAACGTAACAGTGATAATTTATTCATGTATGAATTTAGGAGTATCTTGTTGAGCTCTGGATGAAAGAGGAAAGCAATTAAGTTGGCATCCTATTGAAATGGAAATGAGAGAAACCATATCTTTCTCAGTTCGATTTAGATTGTAACAATGGTACAAAGCATGTGAAGGTAAAGCTCTGCGTTCTTTTCCTACATTTGCATCAAAACTCTGCATCCCCATACTCCTTAAAGGAAAATATCACATATTTTTATCTGAACTTGTGCCTGTTGTTGCTGGCCGCCTATGAACATCTTATCTCCTGTTAGCGAACCAAAGGAACTAAGAGATTATAGCATTCTTCTCACCATTGTGGATTTCATGAGCAATCACGAGAATATTCAAAGTTGCATCTGGACTCGGAGGTTTGTTTTCAATATATTAGCATGTGTGTGGTGTCGTGTGATACCCATGGCAAGTTAACAAAAGAAAAAATATATATATTTGAACATTGCAGATTTTCTCACTGTGTAGGCGATAATCTGATTCATTAATCGCTCCAGAGGAAAGAAGCTGTGGAGAAATAGATGATGGGGAAAGTTGGAGCAGCCCCTGAAAATTTAGAAACTTTTTTGGTAAGTAACAACTTCGACCATGATAGTGCTTCGTGTATACATTATTGCAGATAGCACCAGTAAATTCTAATCGCTAAGGGGTCCATTGATTGTTTCTCTTGATTGGTTTTAGTTTTTCTGATTGGTACCTGTTCAGCCAAGTGCGTCGGGGTTCAGTCCCCTCTACACATCGAGGCCATGGCACTACATCACGGGATGCAAATGGTGGCTGATTTGGGGGCAGCTGCTGTGGAAGTGGAGAGTGATTCCACTCTAGCTGTGGCGGCGCTGCAACAAAAGGAGCAGGATTATTGTGTGTTTGGTCTAATATATTTCATGATGGCAAGGCTACGCTCTAATGCAATTGTTCATTGTGCTTGCGAGAGACATGGGAGACCAACAAGGTTGCGCATAGGTTAGTTTCCGATATGTGTGTGTGTGTGTGTGTGTGTGTGTGTGTGATGACATACGCATGACTTGACTTGAATTTGTGTAGAAACACTGCAGAGTCACTCGCAGCATAGGCGATCATCTTATTCATTAACCGCTCCAGAGGAAGATTACTCAAACAAAAGCTGCTCTCCACCACTCACCATCTGGACTAACAAGTTTGAAATCTTTGGATCAACACACCTGGCACTCTCGGAATCCCTGCCCGGAGAAGGACCTCAACAACTAGGCTTTCTTCAACAGCTATGCATCATCTATTGTCTTGCATTCCTGCTAGAAGAGGATTTGCCGCCTCTCTTTCTTTTCTGAGGATCACCAAAATGTTTGTGTTGGGATTTTGGCTCGTTAAAGTTAGTGTCCTCTTTTGTTTAGGATTGTATTAGGGAAATTAAAGGTGCACCGATTCTTCTCCTAAAAGGACCAGGAAAGAATCAAAGTTTCCTTGTACAATTAGATTGGAAATCCTAGAAGATAATATAGAAAATGAAAGAGTGTAATTTCCTATTCCATATAAAGTAGGAAACTTAATCAGAAAATAGGCATGTAAACCACACCCTATACTTATAAATACGTGCAGCAAGGCTAGGGAAAGCTCGCTGGAAAGCCAGAAACAGCCACTGGCAAGTGAGAAAAGCCAGAGATAGCCAAGAGGGACAAAGAGAGATTCGTTCTAGGGTTTTGCAAAAGTATTGTAACTCTATTATTAATCAAACAAGCTGTGGTTTCTCTATCCAGAGAAATCACAACTGGACGTAGGCAAAAGTTCTGCAAAACCAGTATAAATCTTATGTATTTTCAGTTATTTTCTAATTTGCTAAGTTTAGCGTCCTTGCCAGATACATCAAAGAGCAAGATCCAAAGGAGAGTCAGAATTAAAACAGTTTGTTCTTCTTTGAACAAGAGGTGTGCAGAGAATATGAATGGAGAAGATTGAGCCAAGATAGCTCACATTCCTTGCAATTTTCATTGATGCAAATCAAAGTCGGAACTTTTCTTTGAACCACTTTTTTTTAATTTTGTACTTAAAACTGCTTCTTCTCAACGTTCCTGCATGACTTCTTCATAAGAAAGAGAGAAACAGGAGAATACGAAGGTCTTACAAGAAACTTACAATCCCGGCAGCATGCACCATGTAAACTTAGTAGAGCATCAAATCAAGCAATAGGGATATATTACATATGATATTGATCTCATATGAAGGATATATTACAAGCATTTTCCCTTGAGCATGGTTTTCGGTTATTCAATGATGGGTCCACAAAAAATTCAGCTGGTACATTCATGCTTGGTATCAAACTCGTTGGGTACATAACACGCTAGCTCATAGTATTCGGTTCATAACATAACGTCCTTCCTGACTACTTCCTTACTATTTGCAACGATATAAGAAGATCCCAGGTAAAATCACTTAGCAAATCGCAGCGTCCACTCAGAAGCAAGTTCATCATGTTTAGCTTTATCCTCCAAGTACAAACGGGCAATGCTGGGGACAAGGGGATTATCTGCTCAGATGTGAATATCCATTCAATCAGTACAAAAAATACATCATGCTGCTCAGGAGTGCAAGCTAAGTTATTGCTATGCTTGGGAAATATTTTCTCTGTTCCTACATCATTTTTCATACGAGACATGGATCCAACCTGTTATCAATTTTTTTTATTCGCGTGGAATTATGACAAAATTTCCCTTAAAAATACTTACATGATTAAGATCGACGAAGTGATATACTACTTACATAATTAAGACCGATGAAGTGATATACTGAAGGTAAAATTGGAGGAAAGATATTAGAACTTACAAGGATCAGGTCTTGTGAAGATGGATCGGATGGCTAGTAGCAACTTGGTTATTGTTAGAGCTGGACTCCAACTATCCTTTAACATTTCCATGCTTAGATTTCCGTTAGAATCAACATTGCAATGATAAATTCGAGTTGTGAATACAACCTACAAAACTGATCCTTAAAGTAAAATAAATAATGAAATAAGAGAGTAATAGCTCAAATATTTAACTATTCTCTACTCTATCAAGTTTCCAGAGGAAACAGCACTATTTGGAGATTTATAGGACACAATACCTTTGGAGGTTTAAACGGATAGTCACTTGGAAACGTAATGTCAAGGAAATATATGCCACCGTGGTACGGTGTTCCTAGGAACAAGAACATAGAAGTGTGTCAAAGCTCGCTATGGCCAAGGAGAGTTAGATCACTCAATCTACATAGTCGTTGGCAGCTTACATAACAAACATTAACTGAAAAGCCAGTCAAAATCATATCCAGTGGATAGTTTATTCAACTCCATTCAAAACATAAACCATATCAGTAATGTAATACTACCCAAAACCATTAAAGAGCAGAAAAAGACATTCTCCAGAATCCAGATACATGAAAAATGAAGAACTGATGGGTTCCCACGGCACTCAACTTTTACAATACACAAAAATTACAAATTTGGTTCTAAGATAAAACCTATTGTCCGCAAATTTAAGTTTTTCTGACATCCATGCCAAAAGACATCCAAAAATAAACCAAAGTAATCGAGCAACAAAATCACAAACCAAGGGATGGAGCTATTAGGACGTGCTCAGTATCTTTGAGGAAAAGGACTACATATCCTACCACCCACAAGCCTACGATGTTATATCACCCACAGTTAGAGATAAAAATCAGAATAAGCACCATAATCCAAAGGACATGATTTTATCACGCTAGACATGCCAATGAAAACCCCTTTGCAGCAGATGAAATAAAACTCAATCAACTACAAATCCATAATCAGTATAATGAATTGAAAAACGAATAAGCTTGCTTGACGCGCACGCCAGAAACCTAATACTGATAAAAAGACCTTGGCAGCAATCTTAAACAAAATCATGTTGCAGCCACACATCAGCTAAAGAGTTGAAAAATAAGAAAGATTGCTTAGGGAACTATATTTGCACTACGCAGCTAGCTAGTTCTGATGAAATACTCGAAAAAGGCAAAATCCATTTTCATGTGCTTCCCAAAAGTAAACCTAAAAGTATAAAAATCGATCCGCCTTAAACCCAGAAATTCGAAACCAACCCATCACCTATGAAAGTACCAAAATTATGAACTTTTAAACCTTACACCGCACTCTTGTTATAAAAAAAATTAAAAAAATTAACCACACAAGAAGCACAAAATTAAGTAAAAGTCAACATAACCAAGAAAGCAAAGCAAACAAATATCTCACAAAAGACCATCAATTTCGAACCCAGAACTCCAAACAGAAGCAAAACGCTAACAAATTAAAGCTTAATCCAGAAAGCAAAGCAAACATAATACACAAATCTCAAAAGAGAAAACTGAGCTGGGAAGCCACAAATTCATCACCGAACCATCCATTTCAAACCCAAAACTCCACACTGAAGCAAACAATCAACAAATTAAGCTTAACCCAGAAAAATAAAACAAACAAAATCCATGCGAAAATTCATATCATTTTTTTAAAAAGTGATTTGCAGGAGGGAAGTGAAAGAACCTGGGGGGCCAAAAAGGGTGGCGATCCAGTGGTAGAGATTGTCGCCCTTGGGCCCAGCGCAGCAGTCGGGAGGTGGGTCCATGTTAAGCTCCACCATTTCTCTCTGAATCCTCTTCCCTGAGGACGACACTGAGGTCGTCGACGCCCACCTCGACGACGATGCCAAGGACGGTGCTGACGGTGTCGTCATCTTCGACGCGCCTGTCTCTTCACTTTTTAGGTGAATTTAGAGGGAAGAAAGATAAATGCTGCTTCTGTCAGAAGCTGCATTGCAGAGGTTGGATGATGGAACGGCGCCGTTTTGGGTGAATTTAGAGGGAAAAGAGGAGGAAAAAAAAAAATAAGACAATTTATCAGAGCCAGGTTTCGATCCTGGGACCTGTGGGTTATGGGCCCACCACGCTTCCGCTGCGCCACTCTGATCTGTTGACAGATGAGGCCGAAATACGGTATAAATTTTTGCGTAACTCTAACATTGGGTACTTATCATTAGGCCATCTCCAACCGGCCCGGCCATAGGGCTAAAAATAATTCAGAATGACACGAAAATCGTTTCCAACCGAGGGTTAGGCCAAAGGGCTTGTGGGCACCATCGGGCCCAAACCCCCAAATCAGGCCAGTGAACTGGCCATTTCCAACCAGACCTCCAACGCTAGAATGTCAAGCTTAACATTTTGTCAGCCCTTCAGCTCAGCCCATTTGAATGCCAACAACTACCTGGCGTCAGCATGACGCCAGCTAGCTAACGTCATGATGCTGTCAAGTTACCGTTGGAATTTGAAACGAGTCGTGCTGTTTCATGCCAGGTTAACGAGTCATGCAAGAATTGTTGTGCCTAATTTCTAAATTTGGCAAATGACATCTCATCATATTCTTTTAAGGGGTGACTAGATAATGACCTAACACATTAACAGGTTCTTATAACCCAATAATGATCCAACTAGTTAACAAGTTAACTTAAAGCTCGTTATTTTCGTGTAGGGTTAACAGGTCGTGTAAGAAATTGCCGAGCCTAAACATATTATGGGGTGAAAGTCGTAGAGTTGACAATAACCTCAACTTGGGTACACCCATATTTGGTTGCGGAGTAAGAAATTATGAGTTCTTTCTAAATGATCCGGACAACATTATTTTTCCGATGATTTGGGGAGATACATAAATTAAGAAACATGTTAAATTCATGCACAGATAAAATTCGATACGATGAAAAGTACATTGGAAGGTAGAATTATTTTTCCATTGACAAGGTACAAATCAAGTTCTAGTTAAGTTGGTCCGAAAAAATCAAGGTCTATCCACTACTTCATCATAAATGCCTGTAAAACGCAAAACGAACTACACAAAACTCCCCGGAATTTGCAGAGGTGAAGGAGACAGCCTCAGAAGTGGGAAACACAAGCAAAATTGATGAAACAACGTACGGGCATTCCATTGTGTCACCAATCTTGTGCTACCGTACACTTCCCGAGTCTTCTTCAATCATTTTGCTATCTCGAATTTGGTTCTATAACTACGCTACATGGTAAAAAACTGGACGGAACCTCAAGTCAAAGCAAAAGCAGTACAAGAAATGCAGCCGGCATGAGATATTGAAGATTGGAAACTTGTAGATTCGAACTCCAGCCTCCAACGGCGCTTGAAGGTGCAATTGCTGCTGGTGTAAGTCCCGTAAATGTGCTTGAATTAGAACTGTCACAATAGGGCAAGTTTAGAACCAAACTCATAATTTATTGTACAAGTTCTATAGTTATAATTCTGAAAAAGATGCTTACCTTCCAGAAAATTTGCACGCGCCATGGCCTGTAAACGAATGACCACCAAAACGAATATTAGGAGGATAAAGAGAGAATAAATGGAAGGAATATGCTTAACTTGAGAGGTAGTAGAAATGGACAAAGTAACCATAAAAAGAAACAAAATACTTCAAAGGTTGACAAGCAGACATCAATAGTCAATATTACAATCAGAAAAATGTAGCCATTTTTCATGTTCAGATGCAACAGTAGCGCCGATTTAAAAACCACACCTTAAAAACTAGTTAAAGCTGCATTTACTAGAAGCTTATTTTCTCGGAAAGGTTATGCAACCAACTAAACTATTGTTTTGTTTAACCGGAAAACCAATATAAGAAGCATGAGGTTCATTGCAACAAAACAAGAAACAAAAAATCCTCCTAATGATTGTCGACATTGTAATAGGGCTGTTTCCAACTGATAAAACACCGCAGATTAATGAAAGGCAATTGAAAACTTGTCTTCAAAACTATCACAAAAATAGTGCTTCCTGAATCCAAACATACTCAAATATCGAGGGATAACAAGATGTGACAGAAACTTACTTGGATCAACAGTGGTTGTCATGGCAGTGCCATCAAAGTCACATGTTCCGCCAGCACTTTGCATCTTTTGATAATAGTCATTAAAAGCATATGAAGCATGATTTACAATAGAATCGGGGAGATAACACCGCTGCCCTTTTTGAATGGGAGTGCAGTTAGCCCCGCCTTGCCCACAAGCCCAGTTTAAGCCATCCTGCAACTTATCTGGATCTGCATCAGCTTTTGCCACACAGAAAACCCCTGAAGAATTCCCAGTAATTTGATTGGAATCATTCAAACTTAAAGGATATACAGCAGACCCATTTGTATAGAACACACCCCAGTTTTTCTCTGACACTGGCCCTGGCCTCTGATCTTCGTTGAACAACTCGTAAATGTACGTGTTGATGGGCAACTTTGGCTGGCTGGGCGGACCCGAACCATTTAACACTCGTTGAATCAAATTATTAGTGTAGGTCTGAGCATTTCCCGTGTTGGCATCAGGCTCTTTGGATCCGCCAAACCATGGCCAGCCAGTCTCGGTGACAACAACAGAGATCCCAGAGAAATTGAAATCCTCTATAGAATAATAGGTGGCGTCCACCATAGCATCAAACATGCTATTATAGTGGAAAAGAGTGTTCGGGTCAACAATCTGCTTGACAGAGGGAAGGGGTCGGAAAAGAGCATAATCAAGCGGAAAAATTCCGTCCCCACTGGTGTAACCATAATAAGGATAGGCATTTAGCATGTAATAGGAATTAGTGTTTTTAATAAACTGAAGGATTCGGTAAATGGTAGGTCCCCATGAGTAATTAAATGTGGCAGTGGACGGGGGGAAAGGCTTTGGGATTATATCCATGGATTGTGGAGTCGAAACTTTGATCTGAAAATTTAGGTTTGACGCAACTAAGGCTTTATGAAGGTAATTCATAGCAGAAACCAAAACTGGTGCGGCATTAGGGATTGTGGTAATGACCTCACTGCCAACAGCAATGGCGGTAATATTGGTTGAAGGCAAATAAGCCGCCACATTTTTGTTAATCCAGGCAGCTGCTGCCGATGCAGACTCTCCAATCCCTAGGACTTCCTCATTTGTGACACCTACCATTACTTCAATTCCGCTGTTTGAAAGGGCTTTCAGCATGTGAGCATCAGCATTGTAGAGGCGCACATGTGTAATTTGATGGGCTTTAAGGAGTGCAACCGTATCTGTCTCAGATGGAAGGTCCGAAACGTCGGTCCCAATGTTTATCCCTATGAATGAACCTATAAATTTGAAATTGTGATTTCAGTAACTTGTTAGAATGGTAACAGTACAACAATGAACATAGGCATCTCAAAATTCCAAATTGTGCGCTTCAGTTAAAGTAAAACATTAAAATATAAAAAATCCTGAAAATATATAGAGAATCTAGATATCATATGTGAACATACTCCAAAAGTTCCCCCAAGACCGCATATACCTACAATGGCAAAGCCTCAAGAACAAGGTAGGGCTAGCAACATATTGCCATATTGGAGAAGGTAAAGGGAAAACGATATTTTTTGCAAGTATAAGTGAAATACTTAAAACTATGTAGATGTATGCTTTCCAATTATAACGAGGGGCCATAAATTTGTTTCTTATTATACTCACTTATAATAAGCCGAGATAAGGATGTAGTTTAGAAAGCAAATCAACACTGTTGATACGGAGCTTAAAAGTAGTAACATAAACATGATCCAGGCAATGGAATATTGAAGAAATTGGCAAAACCAAGACCTCACGACAAGGATTTCAGGCAGACTGGAGCTCGAAGTTATACTATCAAAAATAGAAAAACGGAATCAACAGGAAAATAGAATAAGGTTGCAATGTTACCTAGTACATTGGTAAACATGCCAACCAGGAGGAGAATCATGCCTCCAATCCATTTTCCACGCATCATTTGTACCAACCACACTTCAATTTGGACCTCCAATGCCCTGCACTTAGCTCGTAACTCCTAAACTGAAAGAAATGAACCGTATACAAAATGCGATGAGATCGTGATGAACAAAACCAAAGTTGAGCTACAGCTTTGAGTATTATCAATGGCATTCGTAATAGAATGTGCTCTGCCAAATAATGTACAACATGAAAAGGGGATGAAAAAGTGAATAACAAAAAGAGTACGAGAGATCGCATACGTAAACACAACTCGCAACCACACAGGCTCATCACAAGCGAATTTAATTATCAAGAACAATCAGTCCTAAAACAAACTCCGAAAACCAAAAACCAAACATTCCAATTTAGACATGATATACTCTTATTCTCAACAGCTGACAGACAACAGGGAACAAAAGCAACAATTCTTAGTTTCCTCCAACAATTTCTTTCACTTCCCCCCACTTATCATTTTCGATACGAAATCGGAACTAAAACTTGTGATCTCAAGCTCCCAGCTTGAGCAAACTAAGTAGTACATAAAATTGCTCAAGCTTCGATTTTTCGCACAACCCGGCACAAGAAAATGCCTAGCCAGAGAACCCAGATATAGAAAACCAGAAGAAAAAAAAGCCAGTGCAGAAGCAAATAGACCACAAACAACACAACCAAGAACAACCCAGAAGCTGAAAATTAGAGAAAAATTACCAGAAAAGCAGCACTCGATTCAACTTCCCCAGCTGAAAACAGCCACAAAGTTTACTTCCAACGATTCAAACAAAAATCCTAGATAAGAAAACAGTAAAGCACATAAGAAACTGAAGTGCCTAGAACCAAGCAAGAATCCAAGAAGGGTTCTTCATTTGTTTAAAGTTAAAAAAAAGTAACTCGCTCAAATGTGGAAGCCAGATGAGCACTTCACAAACAATAAAACCTTTAATACAATTTACATCCCTGGAAAATAAAAAAGAAGAAATTTCTGACAAATTTTGCCCCCCCACCATCCAATCATTTTAATATTATTCATTAACAAATAAAAAATAAATATAATAATATATAAAAAATAATGGGAAGAGGAAGGTTGTAGAGATAGAACCTGTAAATGGAAAGTTGAGGAGCTACTGAGACTGAGAGTGTGAACCCAACTGAAGCCAGATATTCGAAACTCTGCTTGCTTTGTTTCTTCATTGCTTGTCTTTTTCTGCCTTTTCTTTCTTTTCTTTTTTTTTTCTTTTTTTTCACACAAGAGAAATTGACCGGAGTCATCGGGATTATCGCTACTTTTCCTTGTTAATTTATTTAATTATGTCGGTGATTTTATTCGGTTTTCCCTCCAAAAGCCAATTTTCTCAGATTGAAAGAAAGAAAAAGGTGATGGAAAGTCATGGGATAAGCCGCGTGAAAACGAACGGTTTTGTACTTCTTAACTCTTAAATTGGGTTTAACGCACTTTATCACAATAGTAGAAAAATGTTAAGCAGTTACATGGTAAGTTTAAATTCAATTGATAACTAATTTAACATCTGTGCGAGAAATAAAAAATCTTAATTCGGACTTATAATGTCATTATCGCTGCAATTATGATTGGGAGGCGTCAATTCAACTCTTAAGATCAATAACTAATCATGAACAAATTAGTTGTGTAACTCAGCTTAAATTATCGATTTGTGAAAAAACAAAAAGAATACGACTTTAGATAAAAAATTGAAAATACACTCGCATTGGATTAAGGAAAGACTGGCAAAAAATATTACGCCAAAGCCCGAATGGGAAAAGAGAAGACTCTATTGTTTGGTTCGTGGGATGGAACGGAACGAGTCATTTCGTCCCACGTTTGGTGCGCCTAAAACGAGTGGAACGCGCTCTTCCACGGGACGAATTTTGAATGAATTTTTTGTTCTACCTCACCCCCTGGAACGACTCGTTCCACATCCGTGGAACACAAAATTATAACGTCTCCGTCTCCTTCCTCCTTGTTTCCATCCAAAGGCATCTTTGCTCCCTCCCTGTTCCGTCCCGTCCTATCTCATCCCATCCCGTCTGCATACCAAACGACACCTTAACTATCCCGGTTGTGCGTCTCTACCTCCCAAGCAAAGCGAGTATCGCCGGTTCTGCGGAGAGATGCACGGGAGATGGGCTCTCACTAGCGACGAAAACTCGGCAAGACCTAGTTAATGGAACAAAATCGCAAGCGATGATAAGAAAGTTCAGAAATTCTGTCATAATACATGCCATTCAAACAAAGGCATAAACCTACATATCTTAATCCGAAAAACGACCAAAGTCACCTCATCAAACAGTAGCATCAACATCGGACTGACCAAAATACTAAACGAAATCCAACAGATGGCATAACAAGTCACTTTCCGCTAGCTTAAGAGAGCAATTATCTTTCTAGGTTTCATGGACTAGGAGATCTGTCTCCATTTGGTTCCCTTGGGTAATCTTCATTGATAGGGCTTCGGCTTCTTCTTATGCTCCGCCTTGGACTATGGCTTCTGCTTCTGCTCCGGCTTGGACCCCTAACTGGGCTCTGACTACGGCTCCTTGACCCCTCATATGGTGGAGGAGATCGAGAAAACGACTTCTCTCTGCTGTACCTTCTCTCTTGGGGTGAGACAGATCTAGAAAACAGAAGCAGGAAGCAAACATTAGAACAAATAGCAGGAAGCACTAGACAGAAGCACCTAAGTTCATACACGTAATGTGGAAGGGACTCGTATACAACAGGTCTACTATATAAAAATGTAAAAGTAGCAATTTTTTAGCAAGAATATGGAGGAAATACATGAGTAATCAATACCGGTAGGAATAATTCCACAAGAAACCCAAAACCAAAATATATATTTATCCCCTATATTCTAATGCATCTTATTTGGACTCTGGGAATGATAAACAGCAGATTGCATAACATGAGTAAGTAGTTTCCATAACCAAAACCAACAAGAAATGGCTTTACCGGAAAGAGGACACAGCAGAGAAGAAACAGAACTATTACCTGGAATAATCCCTTCGTTTTGGAGGAGAATAATAATCATGGCTGTGAGACCGAGATCTTGCACGGCGTGGAGGTGGAGAGAGTGAATAGCGAGGAGGAGACCGTCTTCGATCACGATATCGACTAGTAGTCCGGGAGCTAAGAGAAAGGATTTAAAAAGTTAGACTGATGGTGCAACTCAGAAGCAGAAAAAGTATAATACCAGTTTCTCAATTACACATTATTAATTATCATCTCAACTCAATTCACCTTGCACAATGTGTTAAGGCAAACTAGATAGCAGAACCGTTAAAATTACTAGAATGACTAATTCATATATACACACATAATACGTATATTCTAATGCAAGAACTCTACCGTTTAAATATGGGCATTTTTTACACTTCCTAAATTGATATACACAGATTGGCAATCCTTTGGTTTTTTCTTGTTGAATGACTTAGTATATGTTAAAATACATCAACTAGGAATATACAAGTGATTTCTTTGTTCTTTTAAACAAGTTCAAAACCACATGAAATAGACATCCAGAAGATATATTATTTGAATTAAACATCAACTTCACAAGCGATATGAAAAAAAGCAAGAGGCAGGTTTTTACCTTGGACGCTCCCTATGCCTCATATCAGATGGCTTCTTCCTGTTCTCCTCTGCAAACACAACAGTTATCTCCCGACCAAGAAGAAGCTGACCATCCATTTGATATTTAGCCTCTTCAGCATCGGAAGGTTCAACAAACTGGACAAAACCAAAACCACGAGGCTCCCTGCAAAAATAGATGGAAAGAGAAGAAAAACAATAGTCACAAAGGAGCTACACCGAAAAGCAAAATTATGCAAATACTTAACAGACCCAAAATCTTTCCTAATAAATTTGTCGAAATAACCACCAAAAAATATGGATGGTCACTATAAAGAAGCAAGCACTTGGCTGCTGACCTTGCAAGAGTCAGTTTTAAGATGACTTGAAATTCTTCAAGACTTGGAACATCTTCACAATGTACTCAAATCCAACTTCCTTCAAATCTTCACTACCACTAACATCATCTTCAAACTCTAATTACTTGATTCTTGTCTTCAAAACTTTAATTTCACTGTTAAACCTCACAAACTTTAATTAACACACCCAACCAATCGTAGCAATAAGAAAAGATCACGTAAAATAAGCCCCCTTCTTAAGGACAGTATCTAGAAAGAGCAGAGCAGGTCTCCTAGGTATTCCAATATTAAAATGATTCCTTAATAAATAATTAAAATAGCATTGAACATATTGCCATGAATAGTTGTTTTTGAAAGCTTTGCTTTTTTTTTTCTTTTTTTTTTTTTTGGTAAAGAAAAGTTTAGGGGGAGATTGGTTACTCTCACCACCAGCACCAAGGCATACCCACAACCTCGAGCCTAAAGGACTTATGTGCGACACCTAACTGCCAGCTGCCATCAGTATGGATTTACGTAGGAATTTATAAAGCGCGCAACCTTACCAACTAAGCCAACCCTCGTTCGCTTAAAAGCTCTGGTTTTCATTAAAATAAAATGTGGGTACAGAAGCACGCAAAAACACATCATAGCAATTACATAACAAGAGAAGTTCAACCATAGAGATCCCATCTACAAGATAGCTTATATCTAAAACTTAATTTAAATTTGCTACACCAGTGTTGCAAAAGCTTGCAAAATCATGCCATAGTTTCAGAAATCATGGAAAATAAGCAAGCAGAAAACTATAAAATTTCTACTCATAAGGTAAAATATACATACAAAAAACGAATACTTAAACATATACAGAAAAACAAAATTATTATTTCATCATGATATTCAACTAACGTTACTCTGATATGCTCACCCAGTATAGTAATCCTTTGGCAGGTAGATGTCCTTAAGCACACCAAACTGCCCAAATGGCCTGCGGAGATCTTCTGGCCTGTGATAAAACACATAATAAGACAACAGCTCATTAAGTCATAAATTCAAAATAACATGCCTTTTTGTACCTTCCCCCTTAAAACAGCCATCACACTCCCGTACACAAAATTTGCAATGCAAATCGAATGTTTCAAATAAAAAAGAGATGACGTGTGTTAACCACAACAAACCTGCAATCATGGCGAAGGTTGCGAACTAGAAGGCTTGTAGGAAGATCTCTGCTGCTACCTCGACCACCGCTATAGCGACCCCTGGGGCTAGGACTTCGTTGTCCCCTCCTACCATATCCTCCCCTCGGTGGTGGTGATGGACTGTAACTCCTTCCCCTCATTATGAACTGTCAGCAGCCTCCTGACCAATTTCAAAAATTCATTAGAAACTTCAAAAGAAAAATATTACAACATCACAAAAACTATCTGTAAGTACCCACTGAATCCAACAATCAAGAACCAAAATTTCAAGTAAAAACATTCGAGCCCGGCTCAAGTTCTGCGCAATAAAGCAAAATTACTACGTAAAAACAAGAACAACAAATCCATGGAAAAAAAAGCCCCCAAATTTATTTTGTTTTTACAACAACCTTTTACTTGGATCTTTTTTTTCAAACACTAAATTCATAAGTGAAATTGGCTACATTAATCAGGAATTATAACCATATATTTGGGAGAAAAATTACCAATTTGAAAAAATTCATTGCGAATACATAAACCCTAACAGGCATAAACTCCCGAGCTCCGAACTCTAACCCTAACAATGTGCAAACATACTGAGAGAGAGAGAGAGAGAGAGAGAGAGAGAGAGAGAGAGAGAGACCTGAAGGCGGAGAATCGGAGAGGATGGATTGAGGTTGAGGACCTGGAAGTCGACGGCGGTGGTTTGCTTTTGTTTTGGCTCTGAAAACGCCCAGACACAGCGTCGATAGATAGATGAATATCCGTAGGAGTTTATATAAAAGTGTCTTTTGTTTAGGGTTACCCGTTTTCTTATTGGAATTGGATCCTCTCCGAGGCAAACCCTCGGGATTATCTTGATCGTAGTTAATGGGCATTAGATTTATATTTAATGGTTACAATTATTATAAATTTTAAATACTCTCTTATTTATAATCATTAGATAAAAATTCAACAGTTCACTAATACCGATCAATAGGATCCCGAGGGTTACCTCGGAGAGGATCCAATTCCTTTCTTATTACCTTTTTTTTTCTTAAAGGAAACCACGAGTGACGAGCCATTATCTACTATTTTCAGGGGCCAAAAAGATTTATTGAGGCATTTCAGCCTCCTGTCAAAAGTCTGGCGTCCACGTTAACAACAGGTTTCGGATCCAAAACCTCTAGCTTTTAGTTTTAAATAAGACTCTAATCCGACATTTACAACTAAGCTACCGTTTTTTATTCTTACTACCTTATTTTCGAAAATACCCTTCTCAAATGCTTTGTTTGATTGTCCCGTATCTCGCATCCTTAATTGGTCACACGAGCAGAGCTGTCCAATTTCTCTCCTTCTGACATTGATTTTCTCTTAGGTAATCTCTCCGGCACCGAATTTAGTTTACAATTAGGACCGAAATTCTGAATTCATTGTGCATTTGCTTCGCATCTAGGGTTTATTCTCCCTTTTTGCGCTCGTATTCAGGCTGATATGGTGCCGTTTTTTCGCAGTGATGGAGGAGCAGTTCGTGCTCAAAGTCCCACCTTCTGTTGCAGAGCGACTGGACCGCCTTCTGGGCGAAAACGCTTCTACCGACGACAAGTCGTTGGATTTGTCATTCGGAGGTCAGAAAGAAACCTCATTTTACTGGATTGAATTGCGTTTTAAGTATTTATTAATTGTAAATTAATATGTTGTATTGAATGCGTTTTGCTAATGAGGACCAATTGGGGACGTAATTATCAGTGTTTAAGGATTAATATGTTTGTTATTAAGTAGCTTCATTAGTGATGGTTGGAATTTGCTGATATTGCTTATGCATGGGAGTGATTGGTTCGAACTTGGATTGTCTTTTGGGGTGGGGGGGGGAGTGATTTGAAAGAAATAATGACCCGTTATGGGACTGCTTTTGTGAGAAGCACTTTTGCTCACAAACGCTTTTATTATAAACACGTCAAGATTTTTTTTGCAATTCCAAGTGCTTGGAAAAGCACTTGCTTTCCCAGAAAGTGGTTCAACAACCCTCAACCACTTCTAAGTTAGGAAGTGCTTTTAGCTCCTTCGGGAGTAGTCCTAGTCAGGCCCTAGTTTTGGCAAATAGTATACTTTGTCGGTTTGAAGCTTCTTTTGTTATGTTGCAGTTGTGATGGTGGCATTTTACAGCCATTTGGTATGTGTGATATTGATGTTATGCATTGTCTTGTGGTGTATGATTCTTGGTGGTGATTTGTGTGATGCCTGGTTGTGTTAACCTTTTCCTTAAACTCATGAACTTTTAGTATGTTGTGACTTAGTTCGTTCGTCAGTGCGGAAACGAGATTCAGATTACAACCTCACCAAATCACACATAGTTGAACAGAATAAAATACAAGAAATAAAGATACTAAGAAATTTACGAGGTTCAGCAAAAACATGCCTACGTCCCCGAAGAGATATTGCTCTTCACTATAAGAATAACAGTACAAGTACACATGAGTTAAATCAATATAACCCAATCCCGAATCCCTTGCACACCCACTCATAGAATTTTCCCAAGAGCCTCACTCTACCCCAAGAGTTCTTTCATTAAAATACTTTTCACTCTAGCTCTCTTGATTTTCTCTCAACCCATGTTCAACCTTTCCCATGGGAGAGTCGAATGCTCTCTCCACCTTGGATGCTTTTCTGGCTGCCATCTCACACACGGCAAGCCCCTTTTTTTTGTGCATGAAAAATGCCTTCACTTATAGGCATGCACCATCAACTATGTCAACAACCGACTAAAAAAGTCTTAAGTTCACATGGCATTTTCAACACCTAGCTTACCTAACATGCAATCTTTTTCTTTCTTTACATTAAATTACAAAGAAAGCAAGCACAATTGCATGAAAGCAAACCAAAGGTTAAGGATCATGCTCCCAACATCCACAAAACATGCTTCCAAAGTCCAAAAGCAAACCTACGTTTGCTTTTCCTTTGTAGCACTTCACATGGTTGAGAGGAAATGGTTGTCAACTCATAATTATATGAGCCAAACACAATACCAGAGCATTCGGCTCTCCCATGGGAAAGGTTGAACATGGGTTGAGAGAAAATCAAGAGAGCTAGAGTGAAAAGTATTCTAGTGAAAGAACTTTTGGGGTAGAGTGAGGCTCTTGGGAAAATTATATGAGTGGGTGTGCAAGGGATTCAGGATTGGGTTATGTTGATTTAACTCATGTGTACTTGTACTGTTATTCTCATAGTGAAAAGCAATATCTCTCCGGGGACATAGGCATATTTTTGCCGAACCTCGTAAATTTCTCAGTGTTTTTATTTCTTATATTTTATTTTGTTCAACTATGTGTGATTTGATGAGGTTGTAATCTGAATCTCGTTTCCGCGCTGAATAACGGACCAAGGCACAACAATTGGTATCAGAGCATAGTTGGAGGCTTGGTTCGTTAGAGGTCCAGATTTGTTGTTCACCATGGAACTTTCAGTTGACCAGTTTAATGGGAGAGGCGGTTTTGCTCTTGGTAAAGGAGAGTAATGGAAGCCTGAAGACATGTTCAAGATGCTTGGATCAACTGCGAAAGTTGATGTTGAGGAAGACGACAAATGCCTCTTTCTTTTTACCTCACTTTTAGATTCGTACGAGAACCTTGTGAAACTTTACTGCATGGAAAGATATAGTAAGTTTGGAGCAGGTGCAAGCTTCTTTGGTGTGGAATGATATACAAAAGAAGATGACCATGGATGGTGTTGGGCACAAGACTGCTTTAGCTGTTCAAGGTTGGAATCGTGGAAGAAAATTGGAAAGAGGATCTGAGAGAGAACAGGTTCAGATCCGGTTCCGGAGGCAAGGGTCCACAGTGCTACAGGTGCTAGGTCGGGTTGTAGCAAGTTTGTGCTAGGCCAGGTTGTAGCAAGTTTGTGGTGGAAGACTTCGAGTATGCCCTCTAGGTACTTAGAAGCAACACTTCTCTTGGTGATGTATAGTCTCAAGTGTTGCAGGGGTTTTGCAACAGGTGGAGCTATAGGATTCACAGGTGATCAGATAGTCCTGAGGTAGGAGGAAGTGTGGGAATTTTGTCTGGCTCGATGGGTTGTTGCTGGAAACGGGCGCGCTGACGATTTTCCAGGTTGCAGACAATGAAGAGGAGAAAAACCTGCTGGAGGAGACGAAGATGTGTCGAGATCATGTCTGAAGCTAAATGGTGATTTTTAGCTTGCAGCAGCTGCACATGCATTGGCAATTATTGAATCGGAACAGGACCAACGAGGTTGATTTAGGGTGTGTATGCTGGTACGTAAGGCCAATGGACATTGGTGATGGTGCAAGGATTTTTGCACTGTATATTCGCCAATGTGGAGATTGTTGTGTTTGGCTCATATAATTATGAGTTGGCAACCATTTCCTCTCAACCATGTGGAGTGCTACAAAGGACAAGCAAAAGTAGGTTTGCTTTTGGACTTTGGAAGCATGTTTTGTGGATGTTAGGAGCATGATTTGTAACCTTTGGTTTGCTTTCATGCAATTGTGCTTGCTTTCTTTGTAATTTAATGTAAAGAAAGAAAAAGGTTGCATGTTAGGGAAGCTAGGTGTTGAAAATGCCAAGTGAACTTAAGACTTTTTTAGTCTTGGTTGTTGACATAGTTGATGGTGCATGCCTATAAGTGAAGACATTTTTCATGCACAAAAAGAAGGGGCTTGCCGTGTGTGAGATGGCAGCCAGAAAAACATCCAAGGTGGGGAGAGCATTCGACTCTCCCATTAGAAAGGTTGAACATGGGTTGAGAGAAAATCAAGAGAGTTAGAGTGAAAAGTATTATAGTGAAAGAACTCTTGGGGTAGAGTGAGGCTCTTGGGAAAATTTTATGAGTGGGTGTGCAAGGGATTCAAGATTGGGTTATGTTGATTTAACTCATGTGTACTTGTTCTGATATTCTCATAGTGAAGAGCAATATCTCTCCAGCGACGTAGGCATGTTTTTGCCGAACCTCGTAAATTTCTCAGTGTCTTTATTTCTTGTATTTTATTTTGTTCAACTATGTGTGATTTGGTGAGGTTGTAATCTGAATCTCGTTTCCACACCGACGAACGGACCAAGGCACAACATAGTATAATGCAGATGCATGCCAGTATCGTGCACCTTTTGGGTTTAGTGTCGAGCAGATATGTGAGATTTGTTCAAAGGTTTTCGCAGTTATAGTACTTTGGCATGTGTGTAAAATCATACCTCCACATTCAGGAATGCCCATATTTAATCTTGTGTTTTGCCTACTTATGCCTGTAGCTCTTTTTTTAAAAATCAATTTCTCGATCAACTTTCGTTTCTAGTATGTTTTATGGACAACTAGCCAACTAGTGATGGACAAGTAACAACGATGAATTTCTACCATAGTTGTTTAATACTATGTTTTTCCCTGTTTCACCAAATGTTTCACTTGTAAACTTGAAATATCATGCAGAGGATGGCAGGACTGGCACATTTGTCATTGGCAATGACCATTTCCCCGCATCACTGTTTGATCTTCCTTGTGTTGTAGAGTCCTTCAAAACATATGATGATAGTGTGTTAATTAAGACAGCAGATATTGGTCAGGTGTGTCTCGTATATCAATATTGAAGCAGTTAAATAGATCAGTGCTTAATTTCTAAGGGATTTATTCGAAAATTTGTGGTTTTAACAGATGATTATGGTTAGAGACCCGAATGATCCAGCTCCAGATACAGTGGAGTACAGGCATGGCCTCACCCCTCCAATGAGGGATGCTCGAAAGCGAAGATTTCGCAGGGAACCTGATCTAAATGTATCGTTAGCCTCTTTACTTGGATTTTTTTTTTCAGCTTCATC